TCTATACGTACGAGAAAATCTATTTATATATATGCATAACGTGTACAATTTGTAGTATCGTGCTCGTGCCACGTATTCGCACTTTAGCGCCGGTTCGTGACGAACCGGTACTAAAGGGGGGGACCTTTAGTCCTCACTCTTTAGTGCCGGTTGGAGAACCGACACTAAAGGCCGTTACGAACCGGCACTAAAGGCCGGTTCTGCACTAGTGCCAAACCCTCCGGAGAAAGTTGGAGACCTTATATCACAAGTGGACAGAACTTGGCACGAGCAAGCATTGACTGAACATTTGCTTCCGATGGATGCTGACATAGTGCGCCAAATCCCGCTCAGCCACACAGATCAATGTGATTTCTATGCATGGCCATGTGAGAAATCAGGAGTGTTCTCTGTTCGTTCTTGCTACAAGATGGTGATGGAGACAAAAATGAGGCGGGAGAAGTGGCTTACTGGAGGAACCGATCCGTCAAACACTTTTCAGCAGGAGAGTAATTGGAAGAAGCTTTGGGGTATCCAGGTTCCCGCCAAGCTCCGTATTTTTGCATGGCGCCTAGCTCGGGCGTCCCTGCCGACTGGCCAAGAGAGACAACGTCGCCACATGTCAAAGGAGGTCGTATGTCCGATCTGCCAAGCTGCATGCGATACTTGGAGACATGCCCTCCTAGACTGTAATATGTCGAAGAGCGTGTGGTCCCTCCGAGACGATGATGATGATTCACTGCTACCTGTATACGGCGATGAGACGTCTGATCCGAAGCTATGGCTGCATGGTCTCTGTAACACGTTGAGCCAAGACAGGTTTGTTGCTGTTCTTACCACCCTATGGGCGATATGGTGGGCGCGCCGCAAGGCCATTCATGAGCAGGAATTTCAAAGCCCACTGTCCACGCATTTGTTCATTGAACACTATTTACAAGATTGAGAGAACTGCCGGCCAAGAAGCAAAAGATCAAGAACACTAGTGGAGTTGCTAGTACATCAGCGCCTAGATGGATACAGCCTTCACCAGGAGAGACCAAACTGAATGCTGACGGGGCTGTGGCCAAGTCATCAAATATTGGTGCCGTGGGTGTGATCTGTCGCAACGCAGAGGGACAGTTTCTTGGCGCTTCTGCACTGGTCTTCAAGGGAGTAACCGAGCCTGCAACGCTTGAGGCTTATGCATGTAGAAATGCTCTAGCTTTGGCAGAAGATATGGTCGTCACCAAAGTGCGTATAGCATCCGACTGTCTGAGAGTCATCAACGACCTGAAAAGCCAAATGCACCGAGGAGAATATTGCATGATCTTAAATGATATACATGAGACGAAGTCGAGTTTCCTTAGTTGTGAGTTCGTTCACGAGCAACGCGCTAGTAATAGCGAGGCACATAATTTAGCGAGGATGGCCACTACCTTAGATATCGGCCGTCATGTGTGGCTCAACGGTCCTCTGGACCACCTTTGTATTCCCCAAAACATTATGATATGAAATAAAGCGTGTTGTTCTTATCAAAAAAAAAATGGATCGTCCTGTTGGGCTACGTTACTGCGACTCGCCACGCCGCTGACAATGGCCGGGAATCCCCTATTTGCCTCGTTGCGTCGAACTATCGACGCAACGCACAGAGCTGCCGATCGAAGCGCTCAAGTGGGCCGGCCCGTGGCACTTTCCGGTTTTGGGAACCCTCTAGAGTTTCCCAGCCGGGTTTTCTGGTTTTGGGAAACTTCTAGAAGGTTCCTTGAACCTTTTTTTCTTTTGTCGATTTTTCTGTTTCTTTTTTTTCTCTTTTTTCTTTCTTTTCTTTTCCTTTTCTATTTCTTTTTTTTTGTTTCCTTTACATTTCAAGTCAATTTTTTAAAAACAAATCAGGTTTCAAATTTACTTCCGAAACTGAAAAAATGTTCGTACTTTTAAAATATTTTCAATTTTCTAAAAACTGTCGTGCTTTCAAAAATTGTTCACAAATTAAAATAATGTTTGCATTTTCAAAAAATTGTTCGGGCATTCCAAAAATTGTTCTCATTCTCCAAAAATTGTTCGGAATGTTTTTGTTCATATTTTTGGAACTTTTCAAATAATGACCGGGATTTAAAAAAATGTTCATGTTTTCAAAAATCGTTCATGTTTCCAAATTTTGTTCACGTAAAAAAATGTTCATGTTTCAATTTGTTTTGGAATTTTTAAAATTGTTCTCCGTTTCTAACTTTGGTCTAAAATAAAAAATATGTTCATGATTTGAAAAATTGTTCCCATTTTGAATTTTTGTTCATAAATTCAGAATATATATATATTTTGAATTTTGTTCAAAATTCATAAAATATACTTTCATTTTCTATTTTGTTAAAAAAAATCAAAGTTTGTTCAGATTTTCAAAAAATGTTCCTCTTATGAAAATTTGTTTAAAAATTCAGCCTTTAAATCTTGTTCAAAAACCCAAAAAACGCAATTCAAAATCACTTCCCGTTTCCAAAAAAATCACAAATTCAAAAATGTTCACATGGTTAAATTTTGTTCTCAAATTAAAAAATGTTTGGGAATTTCAAGAATATTCATATTTACAAATATTGTTCACAAATTCAAAAACTACTTTCCTTACCAAATTTGTTCACATATTCAGAAAATATTTATGTCTCAAAATTGGTTTACAAATTCAAACAATGTTTGCATGTTTCTTTTTGTTCACAAATTATAGAAAGTCTGCAGATTTCAAAAAATATTCTTGTTTCCAAAATTTGTCACATATTCAAAAAATGCTACAGTTTTCAAAATTTATGCACATATTAGAAAACTATTCATGTTTTTAAAATGAATTCACAAATTAAAAAATGCTCGAGGTTTGTAAAAACAATTGTTTGTAATTGTGAAAAATGTTCACTTTTTTAGTTTTGTTATTGCTTTTTCAATAAATGCTTTGTGTTTACAAGAAGTAGTTCATAATTTCGAAAAATGTTCTCATATTCAATTTTATTTTCCTTTTTTTGTTTCGCAAATAACGTTTTTGTTCCAAAAAAAATTTCCTTTTTCAAAATCACGTTGTACAAAATGAGAATAACTGGATTTGCGTGGGAAGTTGTACCATATACCTGAAATTAACTGCACATCCCACACATAGCAAACCTTGTATAATTGCTATTATATATTTTTCTCTCTTTGTGTGTCCTTTACCTTTTGGAATTAAGGGAGTTCTTATCATTTGGAATTTCTTTTGGAAAATCGAAGATTCAGTCTACCTTGTCCCTGCGGGCTGACCCTGTGTTGCCGGTGCCCTCACGGCGTTGCCATGGTACAACGACGGATTCATACTTCTACGTACCTGAAAATTTATGATGTGCGGTTCATACAGGTGTACATAACACACACACACACACACACACACACACACACACACACACACACACACACAAAATGCAAATTTAGTTGTCATAGTGCTAAAATTGTATATGTTGTGCTATCGTCTTGTTAAAATTGATCAATTTGAATTATAGTTCCTTATGAGGCAAAGGAAAACAATGGATTCTTATTAAAAACACAATTTATTCTTGTAGGAACACTTGGAAAACATGGCGCATTATTGTTTTTAACTACGTTCTGTTCAGTACACCTTTTGCAGAAATTCGCATGGGCTGGTTCCATTACTCGTTGTTTTGCCTTCTGAAGCTCATGTGCAGTTTGATGCCTCCTTTGTTTCAGCTATTTTGTTGATACTTGAATACATGTTGGGTCGGTGTTGTTGTGCACGGATATATTTTGTTGTTTGCAATTGTACTGCAGCCTCGTTGGAATTTCTTTCCATAAGCTCTAGAAAGAGAGCTGCTATGCACACGGCATTTTTGTAACGATGCATCAACGATGCTCCACATCCAGCCATTCAACCGTAGAATGAAGTGCTCCACATCCATCTGATTGTGAACCGTGCATGCATCGTGCGTGGAGCGTCGTCTGTTTAGTAGTTTCGCTGTAGAAATGAGTTTGAGCTTCAGTTGACAGATCTATTTAAGTTACTGACTCTTACTCTGGCTCTATTTCCTGCTTTCAGACAATGCTGGAATACTTCAATTGTTGCACCTATGTTTAGGAGCTCTCTGCTACGGTGGGAAGATTACTCTGTGTTCACCTGTTGTGTTTACCAAGATATGTGTGACAATCCTGTTATGTTTCATCAGCATTGTTTGTGCCTATCAAGCCATAATCATGTACCCCAAAAACATCCAAGAAGGTCAGTAAGACATGAGCAGCAAATCAATGCCGCGACAGAAATTCCCGAAGGGTCTCAACTTCCAAGAGTGCAGGGCAGTACCTGTCAACTGGACCCCGGTGCACAACAATGCGCCATGTGCCGACTCACCGAGTCACCAGCGAAATAGATAGGCAATAGACATTCACCATGCCAAAATGGTAAATGGTTCATGCGAGACACGGGCAAGAGAAGAACGCAAAAAACATATTCATATTTACCCATGAGAACAAGGATACCCAGAGATCAATGAGACACACCACGATATGACACTAGGCGACCTGTGCTACGATGGACTATGATGTGTGGTGTAGTACTTGTGTTGTGAACTGGACTACGATGCACAGTAACATCATTATGCGGACTCACCAAGTCACAGCGAAATAAATACGCAACATTGACCAGGACAAAATGATATAGTTCATGAGACCCTGTCAAGAAAACAATGTCACAAATATATTTACCATGAGCAGTTGACCCACCACAACATTAACACTACACGACCCGGGCATGTCGACCAACACGACGTCGTCAGCAGTTGACGCAGTCGATTTCATGAACTCCGCTCTGCACATAGTAAGCAACACAAAGCGCGACCAAGATCATGACGGGGATCAGCAGCCTTAGCACGAGCCAGAGCTTGCTGCCATCGGTCGTGAAGAAAGGCGCCAGAGGCCACAGGCTGCGCGGCTTCTTGCTTGGCCCCTGGCTACTCCCGCAGCCCTCCTGGAAGCACCAAATAACAATGAACCAACTGTAAAAACGACGGCCAGAGTAGTCTCCTAGTGACAAAGTGGCGCAAACGGTTTGTGGAAATAGGAAACTCACATCATCTTCCAGCTTGCTCAGCTTGTTGATCATGTTGCCGTAGAATTTGGCATCCCTCCTCTCGTACTCCTTGACCTTCTCCTTTAACCTCCGATAACCCATCTTTACGTCCCTGGGAAAACACAAGGAACGTTAATTACTTCTCCCAACAACCAGGATTCTTGGTCACCGGTGATCAAATAAAATATGGTCAGTGTCATAACATTCCATATAACAACATTAGCTACCCAGCCTAATGAGCTAGACCCTCACGACAGGATTTCTTCAAGTTAACATGAGATTCAGTGTTTTTCTAGATACTAGACTACACTAGTACATCAAGACTCGACCGTATCCTGTGGCACTAAGACTAACCTGTTCTCTGGATCTATTTCAAGTGCTCTCTTGATATCCACCTCTGCCAAATCAAAATCAACAAGATGCATGTGTGCCTGCGCCCTTCTGTACAAGGCCTTCACGTTTGTGCTGTCAATTTCCAGGACCTGATCATAATAATTTATAGTCAGCCCTGATAACATCTCTTATGATAACTATATACACTCAACTAGATGTTTCAGTTTCCGTGTATCATAATTACCTTGGTACACAGTTCCTTCGCTTCCTTGTAGTCTTTAAGTTTCAGTTTGCATGCTGCCTTGTTGAGCTTGCAGCTCACCTTGAGTGGTTTGGACAGCTGTTTCTCTTCTTCACTGAAGGAGCTTTCATACTCTATGAAATCCAAAGCCTAATAAAGGGCACAACATACTAAGGGTCAGAATTTGTTTAATGCAAGGCATCCACACTGCAAAAGGTTATGTTACGCGATAGGTTTTAAACTATAACCTTTCCATATCGCTTAGAAGCCCTAGCATACTTGCCCATCTTAAACCACACATTCCCTTCATCTTTTTTCTTAGCAGCCGCTTCGATCTTCTCAGCATTATCCTTTAACTCCCATGATTCCTTCTCCTGCACAACATGACATGCAAGATTTCAATTTCACAAGTGACTAATAATTATCAGTCATACACAGTCTGACGTTAGGACCCTACCTTATCAAAGGACACAAGTTCAACGTCATAATAAACAGTTGTGTTAGGAGGAACAATAGCTAGATCTTGCTTGGTTTCATCTGATCCAAATGCATGCTCTGGGGGAATAGTCACAAAGGCAATTTCTCCTCTCTTCATGCTAAGCACTGCTGCGTCAAGCCCTTGAATCACCTGATCCTCATCAGTCTTGAACTCGAATGGCTCTTGACCATCATGACCTTTCTTGACAAATATTGTACCATCATCCAACTTCCCAATAAGTTTCACTGTAGAGTAACATTGCTACACTTAATTAAAAAAAACATGACAGGAGTACCATTCCAAGATTATCATGGAAAAGAACATTCAAATTATACCTTTGACAGTTGAACAATCTTTGGGACGATCATAGCCTTCACCCTCCTGGAGGATCTTCTTCAGGATTGTCTTGTCATTACCTATTTCCGCAACAGTCTTCCAGGACACCAACTGAAGATCAATGTGCAACATAGCATTAGGGGGAACTGCAGCTTCGTCTCTAGAGGCTGGCCTGCCTTGCTCACCAAAGCCATCTGTTCACAGCACGTGACGGATATTAACTACACTACAGAGAAGAGTCCATATTTACATTAATATAAACTCACATTGTGGTTTGACAGTAAGGAGGGCCTTCTCATTCTTCTTCATTGTCTTGACAGCCTTCGATATAGCAGGGCAGAAATGCCCTGAAAAAGAAAATATTCCTAGTAAGAAGATGCATTCCAAACCTAAAATTACAATGCAAATGTTCAAAAATGGCAAACGCTATACCTTCTTTCACAGTGAACTCAATACCATCAGATTTTGTAATAAGAGTCCCATCCTCAAGCCTTGCCTCATATTTAACTGCACCAAGTAAGTGAATAAAACCCTGACGCTCACTGGAAAAGCATTAAGGCACAACTGCAACGAGCAAGGTATGGTACCAAAAACTTCATCACGGTCTTTGGGATTCTCCCACTTCTCGCCTTCAGCTAGTATCTTCTTAAAGATGCTGCTATCTTTGCAAATGTCCTTGACACTTGCCCATGAGAGAAGCTCAACATCAAACTGCAGCTTCGCATTTGGAGGGATGACTGGAGGGGAGCCATCCTCACCATATGCAAGCTCTGGTGGGATGGTGAAAATAGCATTCTCGCCCCTCTTCATTGTTTTGATGCCCAAATCCCATCCCTTTATAACTTGGCCTGCAATTAGAGGTTCACGACAGCATTTCACTTAGAAACACTTGCTTATCGACGGAAGCCTAGAAATTTACAATTTAAAAACACACATGTTTGTTGTTTGGCTTCTAAAATGATGTTTAAATTACACTTTGTAGTTACTAGAAGAAGATGACTCAGAGCGAACAAGTCTTATGAAATATACAGCCACATAAGCACAAAAATAGGAAACTTGAGCTATGCTTTCTGTACAACTAGCAGCCCCATGACACAAACAACACTTCTTGTTTCTTCAGCTACTATGGTGGCCTTTGTTTGAGCTACAGCTACTGATTCTCGGATTGTAGGCCTCATCAAATCTAAATCTCAAACAAACACACAAATTATCACCTTAGATTCCTAGAATCAGTTTTAGAAAATGAACTACCACGGTTGTCGAAGCCGAAGCTATGAATTTGGTGATTCTGGTGATTCCCGAGCGGCCACATACGCAACTTAAAGTCTAGCCCAAGTTCTGCTAGTTATTACAACAGGAATGCCACTCCACCCACGACCCAAATCTCCCCACGACATGCTTCTCCTCCCCTTCGTTATTTTAAACCGAACGAAAACAGAGAGAGAAAGGGCGATGCGGGGCTCTCTCTAGGTTCCGGCGCCATCACGTTCGCCGCCAGCTCCAAAATGAGCGGATCCGGCGCTGCAAACTTCGCCCCTCCCCGCATTCTGGCCCGTGAGCCCCGCCTCTGCCGCTGTCAAGCAGCTCCGCCTGCGCCACGCTGGGGCCGCTGTCACTGCATACGCCGCCCCAAGGTCTCCCTGCACCGCACGCG